GTAAGTGCTCAGAGTGTCCATCCTGGTCCATGCTGCATGACTGCCATTCGGGACAGCACAGGCACTGAGCAATCCTCCCCTGCAGGAAGCTCTACTGGACGGCACGGTCTAGGCTACCATCGCTAACCCACGGCCAGATGGCCTGGACAACAGAGGCTCTCGCTGGGCCCCTGTGGAGCTGTCATCCCCTTGGGCTGGTTTCCTGTATGTATCATGAAGAACATGCTGCCATGAAGTACACAGCAACACCCCAGCCCTGGCCCCCTGGCCCCTGCACCTGGGTTTTCCTGCCCCATCGCTCTGGGTCCCCTCACCTCTCATCCTTTTCCAGTATTCTTAAATCAAGATGAATTTCGTGTCATATAAAATTAACCATTTTAAAGTGGCACTTAAAAACATTCATAATTTTGTACAATCACCACCTCTATCTAGTTCCAGAATAGTTCTGTCTCCATCGATAGAAACCACAGACCTAGTAGGCACTCGCTCCTCAGTCCCCCTGCCCTATCCACTTCTGCTCCTGTGCTTTTAGGGATTTGCCTACTCCAGAGATTTCATATCACTGGGTTTATGAAACATATGATGTTTCATATCTGGCTCCTTTCAGCCAGCACAGTGTCTTGTTCCATAGGTTTGTCCCTGCTGTAGCATGTGTCTGTATTTCATTTCCTAGCTGTTGGATTTCCTCATCTGATTTACTGAAACAACAGGAAGTGGGAGGAACCTCATTCCCATCACATTAATGGAAGCTACATTAATTTGCATTTTTACATTTAATAGTTCCAGAATCTATCTTCAGAATTATCTTTCTGAATATCTAAGCATGTAGCATCTCAAGAAGACATATGGGTACCCATTCAGCTTCTCCATGGTGACTACTTCTTTCTGATTCCATTAATTTTTTTTTTTACCAACATTATCTAAAGTGTGACTTCTTTAAAGGCTAATTGTTCTCATAGGTTGTTTTTTAGGGTGTGCAATATGGAATATGTTGGTTTAAAGACATTTACCAATTGTGGGCTTTTCACATGCCTTTACTGAGTCAAATGTGTTTGTAAATTTTAAGTAAATAGTTGTAGCTTCCAGCGTATCCCAAATGTCTCCAGGAAGCATAGAACTTTCTCTCTCTCATGCACACGCATGCATGCATGTGTGTGTGAGTTGAGGGCATCTCTCAGCTCTTCAGGGTAGTTTGAAAAAGCTTTTCTATATTAGTATCTGAATACTTTTCAGGCCACATAATCAAGGGGAGGAGAGAGTACCCGTACACTTCAGAGACTGGAGTGCTTCTGCCAAACTCAAAATAAGCACATTTGGAGTCACAAGTTAAATATCTTAAATGCATTTAAATGCAAATTATTTCTGAATTAATCATAAAGCTGTAAAAGTGTCATGAGTTTGAATTGCAGTTGAACAGTAAGATTCATAACTTAGAATATCCATTTGAAAATGTTTTAATCTTTTAACATTTCATGGTATGCAAGGTTGAGGATCTCAAAGGGAGTGGGTTGAATAAAAAGAAAAAAATATATTTAAGAAATGCACATTCCAGCATATATTCTCAGTATATGTATTAACACTTAAAATATAATCTGGTTAAGTGTGCCATATAGTTGGAAATTGTGTTTCTGAATAATATCTACATAATTTTCAATAAAAATAAACTTGCAGTAAATTATCTAGATCTTAAGGTAGCAAAGACAAATGGCCTTTGTTGGAATTAGTTTTCCCTGAGGAGTAAGGAAATGGAATTTGTCTTCTGTGCTGAGGAAAAAAAAAAACAAAACACCTTGCAGAATAGAAAATGGGCAGTGGTGAGTTCTACTAGGACTGTATTACCCCACACTTCTCAGAATTTAGGACAGGGCACCCTGCACACGTGGAGCTGTGGCACGACAAGATTCCAGCTCATGTGCTATCTGGTGAGTGAAAATATGACTGGTCAGAGGGAAGGTTCACAGGGCAGGGCTTTCAGAGCTCCTGGGTGGAGTTGATTGTTCTCACTTGGTCCAGGGTTTCCCAGCTGCACCCCATTTCTGCTCCCCAGCATCACAGGACGTTTAGAGACATCTCTGCCCCAACCTGCAGGATGCCAGGAGCAATCCCAACCCCAACGTGACAACAAAAAGTGTCTCTAGACACTGTGGACTGTGTCCCGCAGGCCAGTGGTGCTCCTGGGTGAGCACTGTCAGCTTACAGTGAGCAGCCCCAGCCTTTGCCTGTTGGGCCACAGAGCCAGTGTGCAGAGCTCACGCTCTGGAGGGGAGGAATCGCGGCGTTTGTCATTTGGTTCTTTCACTACCCGCTGTGTGACCTCCTTCCTGACACTTCCCCGAGGCTTAGGAAAGTGAAATGTACACAAATCACCCTTGACAGACAGGTCCTTAGGAATACAAACATAAGATTGGGCATGAGGGTGCAGGGTATTAGCAAATATGTTTTGCTCATTCTCAAGTCTCATGAGCCCAGAGCTCAATGAGGAGTGCTTAGCTTTGAAGGGCTCACTCAGGATTGCATCTAATTGATATTGGACCACATTCTGGTGCAGTCAGTGGGGCTGTTGCTATTTTGCATCAGTTTCACTAGAGCAGGGATCTGGTCTTGGAGCTTCCCAGGTCTAATGTTCAGGTGCCTCCTCTAAGGAAGGTCTGCTTAGGGCCAGGCTTCGGTGTTCGGCTCCCTGACCACTCACATTGACTAATCCACCCTCCATTCAGGTGCCCCAGCCTCTCCAGTGGACAAAAGGGCCCCAGCACAGGTCTCAGTTTGGGGCTCACAGGTGCTAAGTGGCTGCTGTGATGCAGTTCTGAACCCTTGACTACTCTACACAAAAATGTTAGCCACATGCCCAGCTGTCTGACACTCACCCTGCTGAAGAAAACGAGCCTCACAAAGTACGCATTGTAAGGGAAATGGGGAACTTATGGAAGAGGCCAAGGAGCTCCCACCTGGCAGGAAAACATAGTGGAGAAACCAGTATTACCACAAGGGCCTCTGGCCCTTGGAAGCAACAATCACAGGGCTGCCTTTGGTGTCCCCTGAGGCTGCTTCTCCCTCCAGGCACTGGAAGAAATGTGAATGCCCACCAACCCCAGCTTACTAGCAGCAAAACCTCAGCATCTGAGTTTCACAGACATCGAGAATTGTTCCTAGGGAGAGAGGCACGGGGATGGGACTGGAGGTGGAAAAAGAGTCTGTTATAAGATGAGGACCACGACGCACAGGTTCTGTACCCAGAAGACGGACAATCATTTTCACTTTCAAGTGTCTTTCCGGCCCCACTCTAGGTTAGGGAGTTGGGTGTAGGTTGGCGCCCAGGGAAGATGGAGGCACAAGAAGGAGTAGAGCCACCATTTTGGACGGAAATGGCATTTCCAAGATGAATCCTGGTACATGTTTGATCCACATTCCAAGTACAGATTGCCCTTTCCCTTCCTTCCATCTCGGAGTCTGTACTTCCTGGATTGTGGCAAAGGATGCTGCCTACCCACACTGTGCATTTCTAAGAATGAGAATGACTCCTCAGCTTCATGCCCACTGGTTAGCTTCCCATAGGTAAGTCCAGGGGACAGAAAGTCAAGTGGAATGCGAGTTCCAGGAGGAATAGGAGATGATGCAGAACTTCCATGCCAACCCACGGACTCCATCAACAATGGAAAACACAATGCTGTCCTTGCACCCCTGCCTTCCTGAGTTAACACTTGTTTTAGAAATACAGCCTGGTCTCTGGTGTGAGAAACTGAAAGTGTAAATAAGGACTAAAAGGTATAATAGATAGTGTGAAATAGGAAGAAAAGGGGCAAAGGGGAAGGGGAAGGGGGAGGTGTAGGGGAAAAAATAGAAGGGAAAGGAATTAATATGAGAAAATGAAAACAAGGAAATGAAGTCTTTGTAAATGGGGGTGGTGGTGGAGGGGTTGAAGGGAGGGCAGAGAAATGGGGAAAAAATAAGAGCCAAGAGAGATTATGTAAAGGTGCAAATTTCCAATGATGAATGTCATTATACTGTATACCTAAAGGGTACCAATAAAAATTTTTAAAAAAGAAATACTGTATGGTTCCTTTTATTTAGGAACTGATTCAGGCCTGCTAATGACCAGAGCCTCACCTAACAGGGAGTAAGAAATACTGAGCAGAAACTAATGTGAATTTAGAAGATTTCATGATTAGGCTCTGCATTTAATGCTCAAAAGGAAGAGCAAATGCACCTAGCATTAATAGTGAAATGCCAGTTGTCCAGTTTTCTGAGTCCTTCTGACCCCCGCTTGAGGCATATCACCTTGACTGTACAATCCCCAGAAATTAGTGATCAATAGAAGGAAGACCTGATGAAGTTCAAAAGAGCACAGGGCTCCCCTCCTGGCATCTTGCTGTATATAGCAGCCAAGTAGCCTCATTAGTGTTGTTTTTGTGCTAAGCCACCCTTTTCTGAGGCTGCGTTCTCTCCAGTTAGCTTTCGCTGTACTGCAGTTCAGAGCATCAGGTCTGGCATCCTGACTGAGGTTCCCTTTGGCCCCATTTGCAGGAGAGGAATGAGCAGCCAAGAGTTAAGGAGGCGCAGGAAGTGCTTTCTGGTGAGAGCGAGTGGTCTTTCCAACACAGTACCACAAAAGGTGGACTTGGCTTAAAGCAGCCTGTTATGCAGACATCTGCATCTTCAGAGGAATGAAAAATAATATGGAAATGATCCGTTGGTACCTGAGGCCTCTGGAAGGCATGATAAGCCTGCCTCATAATGCAGATCTTAAAACAGACACCAATCAAAGGAATCAACGGCTAACAGCTCTGGCCAACTGTGTTCAATACGTAGTTTTGAGATAACCCACTGATAAACTTATGCAGAAGAAAGAACTGAGAGTTGGGAATTTTAAAAGAGAATATTTGCTCTGTTTGGAGATTGAGCCAGACTAACCAGGGGGGACTGGGCAACACAGGAAACACTTCCCACCCCTGGGCACACAGGTTTAGAAATAAAGAACAGCTTTCTGCAGCTGAGCTGGGGGAAGGTAAGGTTTTTTTCTTTACTCTTTTCCCCAGTGCCTGGTAGGTAGTGGCTTCTCAACAAATGGATGCATTCTTGAATTAATTTCTATTTCATGGCAATTTGAATGTTATTGTTGACTTGCTCAAATAAATGTTATCTTCGTGAAATGCAAAGTGGATGTCCCTCCCTTGCTGCACACTCTGCGGCTGAGTCTTTCTTTCAATAAAATGTAAGCTGCCTGGAAAGGCTTGGCATGATCCTCACTGCCTAATTCCTGCCGCTTGTTCCATCCCAAGGTGCATGTGGTAGCTTTGCTGTGAGTCTGGATTAGTCTGTCTCCTCCCTCCTCCGAAACTTCACCTTCTGCAGGTGTCACCTGGCTTCAGGGACCCAGGGGCAGGACCGACTGCCTCACACTGGAACAGTCTCTGTAAAATCCAAAGGTGGCTACGCTGCTCTCCTGTCCACAACCCTCCACCACCTGCCTCATCACAGAGCATCCTGGAAGCTCACTCCTGAGCACACGCTCACGCCTTCAGTCACTCCCTGTGCTGCGCCCCATTCCTCCAGGAAAGTCCACAATTGTGCGCATGCACGTCTCCAGAGGGGTCCGGACTCTGTCCTGACCCCCTCCCGGCCCTGTCCCCACCATCACCTGCTTACTGCTCCTCACTGCTGAGCACCTGCTCTGACCACATGGCCTCCTCTGACTTGTTACATCACAGTGCAGTCCAACCGACACAAAGCTGGACAGTGAAACGCACAAGAACAAGGATAAAGTACTTTGTGATGCCCCAGAAACAAACACAGATGCCTTCTCTACTCGAGGCTCCCAACTATCTGAGCAAACAAACGGTGACACATCTTCAGAGCCTCTAGGTGGCTGGGCCCACAGTGGCTCCCCCAGAGCAGGGCCCCGGGCACATGTGGGACTCTCCTGAGCAGCCTCCCTGACTGGGATAAGCAGAGCCGTCTCTAACACCGCCAGGATCAACTCTGGCTGCAAAGCTCTGATGTAGGGGTACCCAGAGGTGAGCTCCACGCTCCTGCCCTTGGGAGCCTTTCTTCCCCGCTTGAAAGCCCTTCCTTGATCGGCAGCCCATCCCAACATTCTCAGTGTCTTTACCTAGACGCAAAGGTGCCGAATACTCACTAAAGCTGTTTACTGAGGGCTCCATGAAAGCGGAAACAGGCTTGGGGGGCTTTGCTGCTCTCTCCTCAGAACCTTGACATGGTGGCAGATGAAAGTTGGGTTGCAATGCTGCCTGCTGCCCTTTCGTATGTGCTCTTACAGTCCCCAGGCTGCTGGCCACACCTGCTGCTCATTTTCTTTGCCTTCTCCTGGCTGGGAGAGAGGGCCTGGCAGGCAGGAGTATGTCTTCTGAGCATGTTTCCACACGTGCTGCTCTCTGCCCACGGCTTTCCCCGTTTCAACCCCAAGCAGGCAGCATGTGCTGTTAATAATGCAGCAGGCAGCCAGGATGGGGATGGGGAGATTTGCAAGCCAAGGTCAACAGGAGTCACATTTTCCTTCCTCCACAGAGGACTGCCATGCTGCTGGTGCCCCTTTCTAGCTGTCTCAGCCTTTGTCCCGGGTCCTATAGCCTTGGTGCTTAGGCCAAGACTCTTATTCAATCTTTCAGAATTGGTTTAACTAGTGTAACTCTCAGTCTTGCAGAACACATCATGGATAACTTCACACATTCACTGCCTTCCAACCCAAATCCACTTCAAGAACCAAGAGGAAAACCTGTCTCTGCCTTCTCCTTTGCTCTTCTCTCTTCTCAGTCCACAAACCCTTCCTCCCCTCCCCTGCTCACTCTTAACAAAGTAAAAACTTTTATTTTTTCAGTCCTAGGGATTGAACCTAGGCCTCTCAAGTGAGCTACACCCCCAACTGTTCTCTTTCCTTCTTTCTTTCTTTCTTTCTTTCTTTCTTTCTTTCTTTCTTTCTTTCTTTCTTTTTCTTTTCTTTCTTTTGTATTTTTGAGGCAGGGTCTTGTTAAGTTGTGAAGTTGTCCAGGCTGGGCTTGAACTTGTGATCCTGCCTCAGACTCCCTGCATGCTGGGATTACAGGTGTGTGCCATCACGCCTGGCTACAAAACAAAATTCTGCATGTATATTGACGAAGGGAGGTAGGTGGTAAGCAAGTGGTGGGTAACAGATGCCCTGTCTGGGTGTAGGGTCTGTGCCCAGGATGTAGCCATGAAGCTTGCTATGGAGGGATAATTATGTCTCAGCACCTTAGTGTGAGTGCGGGAGTCAGAACATTTGGCCAATTATTTCACTTGCTTTTATTTGCAAATTTACTGAATTAGACAAGTAAGTGGGCCTAAAGGTTCTTCTAGGTCTGATGTATTTTAATGCTTCAGCACCTTGCGAGAAAACACCACCAGGTCGTCTGAGTAAAGCAGCTGTGATGACTCAAGCGAAAAAGGCTATCCGGGCATGGCACGATGTACTCATTCCATGGATTTGCTGAGCCGGTGTGCGAGCCAGGTGCTGGGGATGGGAGGCCTTGTGTGTGGGCGGGAGGGAAAGTCGGAGTACATGGGGTTCTCTCTCCTGCCAGGAGTCAAGTTGAGCCTCTTCAGAGGAGTCTGTGCTAATGAAATTCAGAAAAGTGTGTTTCCGTAGCCCTGAGTGAGGAAGCAGCTTTGCTTAGTGGACCAAATAAATAATCAGCCAGAAGCAAGACTAATCCAGGCAGGAGGCTGCCACGACCGTGCTGGTTAACCTCTTCATGCCTCAGTTTCACCGGCTGCACCTGGCAGATAAGGCCGAGCTGCAAAGTGAAGTGCCGAGAAATGTGAAGAGCCAAAGTGGAAAGGGGCCAAGGGAGGTGCTCCAGGCCCTGAGCTGGGAGAGATTGCGACCAATTCCTGAATTACTCTTTCTAAAGAAGATGATCATTCCTTTGTTTATCATTTCTCTGCATTTCTATTTTATTCAGTGCTGCTGTCTAAGGAAGTAGTATGCTGTAGATATTTGCTCAAAGTCAAGCAGTTGTTGGGAAGTAAGGTGGGTTTTCTACTATTATGTCAGAAACTCCTACATCCTCAACATATCAGATGTGGTCGGTGTCATCGTCCCTGTTTTTATTTAAGCGTAAACTGGGATACGGACAGGTAACATTAACGTCATGGTTCTCCAACTTGGATTCACACTGGTGCCTTGTCACACTCCAAGATGTTCACATTGAATTGGCTTGAAAGGCATCCTGGGCCTGGGAGGTGCAAAACCTGCCCAGGTGATTCTAGGGTGCAGCCAAGTTTGAAAACCACGAATGCCTTGCTGCAGTCTCAGATCTAAAAGGCAGAAATGCTAGCTGCGCTGACCCTGAGGCCAGCATCCTCCTACCAGGAATTATCTCAGCTGTACTAGCTTCAATCTTCTGAAGATCCCTTCATCTCTGGCCTGAAAGGCTGTTTCTCAGAAACCAGCAAACACTCAGAAACGTGGCATTTAACAGTCATCCAAAATCTAGACAGAATGGAGCAAAGGAGCCTGGGATGAATTCTCCTGACTCTCTGGAGCCATTCAAAGAACAAAAAAGCCATACTGAGAAGCCTGCATGGGAGAGGGAGACTGCAGCAGCCAACTGGAGGCCCCGGAGAAGTGATCTAGGCACAGGCATGTTACCCAGTGGGACAGTAAGGGCTGGTCAAAGTCACCTTCATTGAGCAAATTAATGAATCAGATCAGCTACAGTGACATCAATACTTGGGACCGACAGCATTTAAACCATGGTTCTTGGGGTGCTGTGGAATCATCCAGAGGGTGGGTCAAATGCCCAATTTTAGGACCCATCTTGTGTTTTTGGCTCAGCAGGTGTGGGCTGGGACTTCTAACAGGTGCCCAGGTGATGCTACTAGTGGGGGGCTGAGCTTTGAAAGCTGCCCAGTGAGACAACCCTTTCCTAGAGTGCCACTAACACGAAACATTCAACTGCTAGCTGGATGCCGAGTGACTACAGTATTTGTGCCTCTCTCCCTGCCTTCAGGGAGCTTAAACAAACTGATCTGTGGCAGAATAGCTCCCAGTAACAGGAGCTTCCTAAGTGATCAGCTGGGGCCAGCCCTGCCATACCCCAGTCTCCAGCTCTCAAACCCTTAGAAGATGGTGCTGTGATCTCATTCTACTTCTAAGGGGCAGAAAACAGCTGCTGTAATAAGGTGACACTGTATTAGGGTGAACCACGAAATGGCCAGTGCTCATTCTATTTTCACCTATAACAATTGCAATTTCTTATGACTCATCTGATAGCAGAGTCAAAATCCTCAAAGCTTAGACTTTAACTCACCTCCTTTGCTTCTTCCTACTCAGGGCTCTCCTAGGGATGTGTGATAGATTGGCTGATAGGACCAAAATGACAAGAGAAGTTAGGATCCCAAGTCTGAAGACACATGGCGCCAAGCCTGGACTGGTCACGTGTCCCACCAGCCCAGCTCATCACTGGCTGCTTCCACTGGAGACAGAGCTGTAATGATGCCACTGCAGATCCTCAGGCGACACCAGCCAGCCCAGGCCCTGCTGGCTGGCTTTGCGGTAAACCAAAATCCACAGCTCTCTTGCAGCTGGAGGCCTGTGTGTGATCTCTGTTGTTTCCCAGAAGTGCCAGCACACACGATGGCCATGGCAGTGAGAGACCCTAGGCTACCCCTTCACTCCGCAGACCTGGGGGTCCAGAGGGTGGGTGCAGAGCCACAGGCTCTATTCGGGCAGCCTAAGCAGAGTTGATGCATCCTGTTCTGAGCATCACTGGTGCAGAGTGGCAGGGCAGGTGACTCCCCTTGAACAGTGGCCCTCAAGTGGGGGAATATGTTCCCTCCCTCAAGACAATTTGAATTATCTAAGGCATTTTTGGTTGTCAAGACTGGGGGAGTCACTGGCATCTACTGACTAGGCATCATGGGTGCCACTAAACACCCCTCAAAGCCCTGCTCAGGGTGCCCAAACAAAGAATGCCTCAGTCCAAAATGTCCCAAGGACAGAGGCTGAGAGACCTTAGACGCGAATAACATCTTTTATGACTTAGAGCAGTGCTGCCTTCCCTGGCCGTGTAACCCAGATTAGTTGACCCTTTTGTCAATTGTATTGGTTTCTTAATAAATGCATTTCTTCATAAATTAGTTGGAAGGGACCAACAAAATGGTCATAGAAATGACCAGACCAGAAGATCAAGAAGACTTATGTAGCTTGTCCTAACACCTGAGAGGTAGGAGCATCCCAAGGACAAATCTTACTGAAGTAGGACAATCCCATTAAGGTAATGGGTGCATCATCCATGCATAGCATAGACATTGTTACTAACTACTTAATCACTAGGCAACTCTCTACTGTGGGTAAATCTATAATGTCCCAAATGTCGTAGGGACACTGACATTATGACATGTCTGTTTCCACAGGACAGCTATATTTTTCACCCTAATGTATTTTCTGATCAATTGTCTTGGAACTACATGTGGGTTACAAAGTATAGACACATAAACGAAGATAAACTCCCAATTCAATTATTCTAATCTTATGGCGACACCCTTAACCACAAAGTCAAAACTTGACCAAGAAGTTAGCTATAAGGAGAGCAAATCATATAGCAGAAGACATAGGCAAATAGCCAGAAGGGGATATCGTGGCCCTGCTCACGGTCTGAAGTCAAGAAGACAGTTGTCTGTTTCATATCAGCACGATAACAGTGTCAAGCTCATCTTTATGAGGGTTAAAGGAGATCGTCACTTGGGTATTTAGCATGGATCTCTGGCATATTGTAAATTTCCAGGAAGGGTTGAACCAACAGTGATGTAACAATACATCTGGGGAACCCTTTGATCCTTAGTTCATCAGTTAAAGGTAAGAAGATAAGCAATATTCTGTGTGTGTCGGGGGAGGTAGGGAGTTCTTGGGCACAAAATAGGTGCTCAGTAAATTTTCATTTTGTTCCCAAATGCTCTCCTATCCAACTCTGACCTCACCAGTTTTCTGTGGTTCTCCCACTGTGGGCACGAGATCAGGGTGACAGCTTCCTGCTGATGACATCGGCCCTCTCCTCGGTCTGTTCTGCTTCCTGTTTTTCCTCACACCCACTGTGGAGACCATCCCAGACCCTCCATCTGGCCCCCCACCTGCCCACGAGACTCTGTCTCCCACTACACTCCTGTTCTCCCATATTGACAAATTTGCAGCCAGCAGATTACATTCACAGTGTGAGGGAACCATTACCACCTGCTAATATTTTTATAGAATTTCATAAACTTGGTCATTCATGAATCATTTACAGTACTTTATTCCAATGAAGAGTTCACAAATCACTCAAATGCTGGCAAAATGCATAATAATGAGTAATATTTCAGGAGGCTTTACATTAATATGTCAGCTCCCAATACTGCCAGAGCTAAATTATTTTGCCAGGTGTCACTTTGGATCAGAAGCTCGGGAAACCCAAAGGGGAGCTGGGGCAGGGGCTGTGGTGATGTAGCGGTGGGTCAGGGAGCAAGGTGGTATTTAAGAAGCGATTGATCATCCAGCCAGCCATTCCCTTCTCAGCCCTAGGAGATGGAGTTCCTAGGAAAGGGGCAAAGGAATTTACAGATTAGATATCAAAGGGACGTGGGGGGTAAAAACAGGCAGAAGTGTTTCTTTGCGATTGAAAATGCTGGGCTTTGGAGCCCCAGAGGAAGGGCTGTGGATCCCAAATCCAATACAGTCCAGCCGTGAGCCCTTGCAAAGGTCGTGTGACACTTACGGGCTTATCTGTACAATGGTGCTAATGCTTGCTTCTTCAGCCTCTTGTGTGAAATAGATTAATCAAGAGGCTGTTCATGAAGAGTTCAGCTTCACGTCTACCATGCAGTGTTAAAAAACAGTAGCGTCCATGGCAGGACTCATTCAAAGTCCAAGGGCAAATGGATCACACATTACTTTTGTATCGTCCAAACCCCTGAGGCTTCCGGCAACATGCTTTCTTGCTGGATTTTGGAAATGTTAACGCACTGGCATATTCTTGCAAGTGAGGAGCATTTAACTTTAAGACAAATAACAACATTGGCGCAATTATAATGTCAATACACGCACCCACACACTCTCTGCTTTCTAAACTTGCAAGAGTAGAGATGAAAGCATGGGCTTTTGAAGACCTAGGGTTCTGTTCTCTAAAGAAGCAGGTTTGCTCCCAACTACATTGATGGCCATAAACACAGTGGATCTAACTACACCACCAAGAGAGAAAGTGATTTCTGAACAGGCATTTGGGGTGGACTGGAATGGCCACATTCCTGTGCCAAAGTATTTTCACACGTGAGTAATCGAGTTCTCATTACACCTAGAGACAGGAGAGCTTGGGTGACCTTCCTCAGCAAGGACAGGAGAAAAACAGAACACTGTCTGAAGGGAAGCGCTGAGGGTGACAGGTGAGGAATGGGGCCTCCTGCAGCTGGAGCCGGTGCTCTGGGCCAGGTGGGTCTGGCCACTGCAGCCCTGGCACTCATGTTAAAGACTGCGATCCAGCCATTCCAGCTGCCTTTCCGTGGGGCATGAGGCCCTAGGCCAGGGTGCACCAAGCCACAAGATCACAAGGCACAGCTTTCTGGCAAGTACTCATGCACGCTAAGATTGTATAGTACCCACGATGCTCCCAGCACTATTCTAAACACCCCTTTAATCTTCAGGGAATTCCCCGAGACCATCCTTATTGGCCCCATTTTTCCAGTGTAGGAAGGGAAGCCAGACACCTGCCCAGTGCCCACAGCTAGGACAGTACTGGGAAATGCTATGGCCTCACTTTGGAAAGCAGGAGAAGCTCCGAGCTACAGACTGCACTCTTTTTTACTAGCTGATTAGCAATTGCTAGTTAGCAAACACTAGTGGTTTTCTCTTTTATAATCCCCTGAGGTGCTAGTAGTGGTGGGCTCATTTTCTCGACAAGAATCCCAAGATCAGAGAAGGTGAATGGGTTTTCCAAGATTCCTCAGTTCAGGAAGGAATGAGGCTGAAATTTGGATGCATGATTTTCTTTTCAAGAGATTTTGTCTTTAATCACAATTGCCATATAATTGCGCGTGCAAATAAACTTACTTAAATTAAAGATTACTAGGGTTTTCATTCCACCCTGGCGAGTTTGCCTTTGTGAACATTAGAAAGAAACAGGGCTAGGGCTGTGGCTCAGTGGTGGAGCACTGGCCTCGAATGAAGGAGACCCTGGTTCCTTTGCTAGCACTGCCAAGAAGAGAAATAGAGGAAGGAAGGAAAAGGAGAGCAGGCTGCCTTCTCTGTGGATCCACCCCGTGCACAGAGCAGCTTTTTCTGAGCAGACACAGGCTGGGTCCGACTCTGGTCCGGTCCCTTCAGCTGTCTCCCAAACGCAGCAGAATTCCTGCACAGTCAGAGGAGGGAGCTGTGCCTCCGGCTTCCTGGAGCCAGAGAGAAAGGAGATGACGCGCTTCCGGAGTTCTCCTTGGGAAGCCTCCCTGCTGGTAACCTCGGCAACTCAGAGCCAAGCAGGCCTGTGGAGCACAGGCTGCCTCCTCCCCAGTCCCTGATGGTAGCTGCTGGAGTTCTTTTCCCCACTGCTGTGACTGTCCCCACGACTCCCACCTCAGCACAGGGGGATTTCTCAGTGTCCCTGGCGATCAAGGCCACTGCCACGTGAGGAGAAGAATCAGTCGGAGGCGGGCCCTGCATAGGAACCCTGGAGTCTTTCTCTGAACATGGAAGGATGCCCAGCAGGGTGACTTTTATTTATTTATTTAGGAAACACTTCTGGATCCACAAACACCAGAGAGGGCCCTGTGGCCACCGACGTGTCCAAGCTGTTGCTCATCTTTACAGGAGCTGGGGGGTGTGGGGAGGGGGGTCACCACCAGAAGACACCTTTCTTCCCTGGCCTCATGTCCCACCCTTCAGCTGGCCACAGACTCGTGCTTTCTCTGATTCACACCAGTTCTGTTTCTAGGGCCCAGCACCCCCCACAGAAGATCTCCTGTCCTCCACTCTTCATCCTGTGTCTCCTTAATTTCCCAGGGGCTTCCTGAGCTGCAGCGTCATCCAGAAATGAGGAGGAACAGCTAAGGCTGTGGTACTCATTTAACATCAACAGAAGGAAGAGTGTTGATGGCAGATGTCACCCTTCTCATGGCTGGAGTCAGGAAACTGATGTTAGACACTTGTGGGACTTAACTAAGAACTTCAAAAATATTCAAGAAAAGAATTAACGGAAGTAGTTCTGATTTATTGAGTACCTGCTCAATGCTGGGCCTTGTACCAAATGTCTGGAAAAATGGTTTCATTTCATCTTTTACTATCCTTAGAGATGCTAGTAATATCTGTATTTTTATGAGCAAAACTTATAAGATCAGAGAGGTGAGTTGTCCAAGATCACACAGCTTAGGAAGCAGCAGTGGTGGGAGCTGGGTGGCATCTTTTAACCTCAGAGATCTTAATCACTGTGCTATGAAATGATGAAATTTGCTGCACGTTTCCTTCCTAGTTTCTAGTGTGTTTCACACATACAATACCTGTCTCGTGGAAGTTTCCATGACAGACATGGCAAAAGAAGAGGGCAGCTAAATGTGGTCGGCTGCTGGTTTCCCCTACAGTAGCTGGACACCAGGAGGCCCTGGCTCGTCTCTGGTTACTGTCAAGGCTACGAGAGCAGGGAGCTTGTGGAGATAATAACATTCAATTTTTACCACGAGCAGACACCTGTGGGTCTGTGTGGAGGACACTCGGCTCTCTCTCGGGGCTCAATGACAGGTAGTATTCCCTGGAGGTGCTCAGCAAAGCCTCCAGCAAGGCTTCCAGAGGGGCCCCTGTGGGGCACCAATGTGCACCCACCCATGTGTGCCCAGCACTGTGCCCCTACAGGTCCCTACAGGACTTCTTCACTTGAAGCTCACAGAAAGCCAGTTGTGTAGGTAAGAAAAACAAAGAAAAATGTCCACAACACCCACACTCTACTATTAGTGCTTTGAGTTTCCTTTTACCATATTTCACAGATGCCTACCCATCCTGATATGTGCAGGTACTTGGTGATGAAGACACTATATGTGTTTCATGTTCTGTTTCCATTTGATATCTTTAATCTTTCCATGTAACTAACACTTGGTCAAAAGTCTTTGAGATGATGTAGAAAATGGCCTTTCAAAGGTGCTGGCCCTTAGCCACTTCCCAAAGGATGAATGCTTAGCAGCTTCCTCCATTCTCAGGATGATACTGAATTATCTCTGATAATCTCTGATCATACTGAATTATCTCTATTTCTGAAAGGGTAATTATCACATCCAAGGATTTACAGCTCTTATTGCTCTGATCATCAAGCTGGTCTCTGGAAAGCAAAGTTAGTCTATGGATTTGAATCGCCTGTGAAAAAACCCCAGGTCTGTGTCCTGAGGTTGACACAGGCGGGGGGCTCTGTTGATGAGACAGGAGCCCTCACTGTTACCCCATCAGGGCTCAGCTCACTCCAGTTCCCGTGGAGACACACTAAAGCCACGCACTCTTGAGTTTGATGAGGCACAGAAATGATGGACTCAGCAAGAAGAAAACACTGGTTAAAAGCCACACAGTGTGGGCCGGTGAGGGTTACTCACTTGATAAACAGCAATCGTTTCCCTGTCCAGGGACTGGGTCACGGAGACGACTCCCGTGTTCTCGTTGATTCTGAGAATTCCTTTAGGCTCCTGGTCCACTCCCTTTCCAGTGAGCCTGAACTTGGAACCTTCAGGTCTGTCACTATCAACCACCTGGTCAGAGAAACAGAGTGACACTTAAGACACAGAGACAGCGTGTCACATACGTCACTTGGTGACCAACCCACTAATCTCAAGTGTCAGCCCAAAGGTGCCTGATGAACCAAGGTTTGCCTAAGCAGCATGAGTCTCAAGTGGCACCACTGCTTAGTGCCCTCTGTCCTCAGCCAAGTCTTTGCAGGTCACAGCTGAGCAGCTTGGAGCACACATACATGGACACATTCAGAGGGCAGTAATGCTGGCAGGTTCAATGTTGGGCATTTAGATTATTTTTAACATCAGGAAAGAAACTTTTTTTCCTCTGCAAGCAAGACCAAAGAGGCAATGGAAAGCATTTATTGAACAACTTCCCACAGCACAGGCACTGATCAAAGTTCTAGGTGTTTACCTGCACCCAGCCATTAGCAGAGCACCTGCCTGCTGCTGCTGCCAGCACTAGGAACGCTGAGGAGGTACTGTGCATCTGTTTTCCTCCTTCTCTGAGGCAATGCTGGAGGGGTGGGGTGAAATTATGCTTAAGAGATCCAACCATGGAGGCACAGACCTTAAGCAAGTTGGCCATGGTCACAGCTGTTGAGAGGTGACAGTGGGATTCAGCACCTCGTCCTCCATTTCTCTAGATCCTAGTATGGGACACTGTCATTTCTGATTTTAAGGAAATTATTCCCAGATGGTTGACCTTGATTTTACGTTTAATGAATAAATTCAGAAGGTCAAGGTGGAGGGGGGTAGTTCCAGGCAGAAGGAACAGCAAGGACAGAGGCAGGCAGGTGAGGGAGAGCCCAGGAAATTCCAGATATAGCGACTCATTAGCTTGGTGTGAGTAAAGGTGAGTTGAGAGGAAGTTAGAGACCAAATTATGGGGGTCTTTTTCTGGCACTTGAATTTCTGCAGCTAAAGAAAGAGCTATTATTTCCATATGTTGGTTCTAGAGTTTACACCGACGTGTTTTATGTATACTTAATGTCACATTATCAGTACCGGCAGATGTTAATCGTAACAACACAACTCAAAAGTCATGAACACAATAGATATTCCAGATGTACAGCCAAAGGAAAGTGGACATGGAACCAGCTGTGACTACTTTACAAATGCACAGGCTCCTATTGTACACCGCTGGCCATGCTCTGAGGCTACAGATCAGCATTCTTCAGAGGTCATTTTTTTTCGGCAGCCAAGCCTGCAATTCTGAGGCCTGGCACCAGGTGGCAGTAGTGTCTAAGGCAGCCTGAACTTGCCCCTTGGTCTGGCAGGACCCTTTGAGGCCAAGCAAGACAGGGCTCCACCTGACAATACACTTTTATGCCCTCTGATTTAAAATGTTCTTTATTGAGCTACACTGAAGGTTTTAATTAAACACCAATTATCTCCATTTGCATTTTTAAGATTAATGGAAAATAGGAACAGTAAAAATAAGGCATGTGATACCTTCTGATGAAAAGAATTTTTAATCACTACTTGATTTAATCCATCTCGTTGTCTTCTCCTGACTCACTTTCCCCTGCATGGAAGCTCCAGGAAGTCAAAAGCCACAGAGTGCTGGGCTCACTAATGGATGCCAGTGCCTGGCAGAGTGTCAGGCATACAGCAGGGAGAAACACAATATCTATTTAGGGAAGAACACTGGTGTGCAGACAGACACATGTCACTGCCCATGCCCTGCCCATGGTCACTTTTGTGACCTTGAATATGTCCTTTGCCTCTTCGCCTATTTCCTCATCTGTAAAATGGGATAACACTGCTTATTTCTTAGGGGTTTTGAGGTGTTAAAGGTGAACATCCATAAGGGATATAGAAGGGGCTCAGTAAGATAGCTGACAATTGATTATAATACCAAAAGCCATAATCACAAACAAAGCACACTACTGTTCATGGGTCAGACATATACCTCCAGGGATAGAAAGCCATAATATCAAAAGAAATCGCTTCCTAAAAGAATATATTTCCTTTTCAAAACGGAACTCACAGACCACTGCAGTTTGAAAAAAGACTTCCCGGAAGCAGACTGGCTAGGTGGGCAGGGTCAGCTGGGTGGGGGCTCTGCTCTGTCCCTGGGGTGTTAAAGTTGTTGTCCTCCCTCTCATACTTCCCCCATGTGGATGCAAGCTCCTCCTCTTCTCCCCCCAGCACCCTGAGACAGGCCCTGGGACCTAGAAGGCAGTCTCAGGACAAGGGCGCAGTGTCCTGAGCTAGCGGGAGCCCGTCTGCCTGACACACACAGGCCGGCTGCTGAGGACCAGCCAGGAGAGGCCCTCTGAGCTCTTTCTTCTCTTTCCTACCTCTTCCCTGCTCAGAAATGCTGAGGAACACAGCACCCAGAACCTCCTGGAAGGAGCAGGGCAGATCTGGCCTCTGGGGAGTCATCACCGCTCCCATGGCTCTCCGCTCTCCAGCGCCCATCTAGACTTGGAAGTTCTCTGGGGGCCACTTTTTTTTTGGCCGCCAGCGTCAGTTCTGAGTCATTTCCTCCTTCTCTCTTGGAGGGCTCCAGGCACTTGACCTTAGAAAAGCCACAGGTCTAAGAGAGAGAATCCTGCTTAATTAGCATTTGCTGCTGGGTCCAAAGGACTTATTCCCTGGGGAAGGAGTGTGCCCAGTGCTGAAGGCTCTGCTGGAATGCTGCTCAAGCCCTCTCTCTCCATATATACATCTCTGTGTGTTCTTAAAGGCCCAGCATTTTAAACATCTGTGGGACCCGGCTGCTGATCCTCAGATTAAATCAAGTAGTGATTTGGAAGGAGCCTCAGGGGATGGTATGGTGTCCCCAGAGCACTGAGCCTCGGGGACCACCTGCCAGGGAGGGTGGGGCCTCGCTCTCTACGCACGCATGCCATCCATCTCACGCAGCCTATCCGGTGCATTCTCACAGAAGCTGGTTTTTACTGAGCAGCTTGGAGCCTTCTGCTCAAGATCTGCTGAGTCTGTTTGCTACCTTCTTTCTAGACCTATTTTAAGCAAAACACTCACAGGTACACTTTTAAAAACCTGCCATCTAGGAGCTCAATATTGCTGTCTCTCCAGGAGACTGGACCAACTTCCCTACATGTGTCCAAGGCACCAGGGGCGTGTTTGGAGGAAGCCTGGAAAGCTGGGGAGTTGGAGCCGTTCTCTGGGGACAAGTGGGAGGCTCAGCTCATTGCAGATGCAGGAGGAAGCTCAGGGTGCTGGCTCACCCACTGCCCCTCTGGCTTCTTGGTGCCCAGGAATTTGAGAGCAGGCTGCACACACGACAGCTTCACAGAGCAGTGGTGATACAAGGTGTGTGATGGCTATAAATCCTCAGCCTTGAATTGGCACAATTGCAAGAAATCAAGTGAGTTTCCAGACAACCTTCATTGTACCTTGTCAGCCCCCCAGATCACCCTGTGCCCCCCCGCCCCGCACCAAATGTCCCTCTGCTCCCCCGGCCACTGCCACTGCTGAACATACCCCACATAAGAAATCAGTGCACTCTTCTGGCCAGGACAGCCCTGCTGCCCACAGCAGCTGTTCACACCCATTATCCACATAGCAGGCGCACAATTAGCTGGGCTTGCCTATTATCCTTTGCAATTCAACACTTCTTTTCACAGTGGGATTTTTCCTGTCCTCTGAGTTGGAATGGGAAAAGCAGCTAATTAGAAAGAAAGTAGACCCCAGGAGCCAACTCCCTGGAAGGGCAGGTAAACAGCACACACGAGCCACTAAACACCTGGGTGAAGAGGCCTCCTGCTTGGCTGTGCGGGTGGGCTGGCTGCTGATGAGAGGAGAGTCTGCACCCAGGGCAGGGGCAGAGGGGGCCCCGAGCAGGTCCTGGTGTGCTCCTGCTGCAGGACACACTCCTTTCTCAGTGTGCCAAGTCCGGAACAAAGCCAATGTCCACTTTGTTTCCCCTGCCACGTCCTGTCCTCATCTCTGTTCTCTGCTGCAAGTAACCAGTGGTATCAAGTTGTATGTGTTTTTAAGGAGTTATTTATGAGTCACATACATACATATGAATTCATAGGCTGTGTGGCGGTTTTGAGTATTTTTACATGGATATCATTATATATAGCTTACTCTGTATGTTTTCTATGGACTGTGCATGGGCACATATTTTGTGTACACACGCAAACTTTTGGGGGACGAAATTTTAAGTTCTCAGGAATGTTGTAAGAGAGTTGCTCCCATACACCATCTGGTTTTCCCTCACGTTAGCATCTTAGGGAACCAGAGAGCACGCCAGGAGGTGAAAAAGCAGCTCTGGCTCCTCACTATTAACAACGTCACAGACTGATGTGTTCAAGATTGCACCAGTCTTTCTACTGCTGTCCTCCTCTGACCCAAAATCCAGCACAGGACCCCCACTGCCTTTAGTGAGCACGGCATTAACTGCACATCTGGATGCTTCCTAGTGCGTTCAAACTTTTCACCATCATTTACCTTTCCTTTGCCTATGGAAAATGTATTTGATGTGTCAAAGCCACATGGCCCCCACCCTGTGTCCCCATTGCTGTAAGAGCTTGTGGATCCTGGCCTCAGGTCCCCACCAGGGCTGTTTGCTTGTGCTGTTCTGGAGGCAGCACAGTGGTGGGTACACAGTAGGTGGCCAATAAACAGCAGCACTATGCATAAGTAACTGAATATTATAGATGCCTCCTAACTGGCTTCCATAGTTCTGATTTTTCTCTTTGCCCATCTCTTTTGTGCAATAAGAATCATCATTCTAAAACACAAACCCAAGCCTAACCAGAGCTATACCCGGATTGAAACTTTCTCTGGCTCTTCATTGCCCTCAGGGTAAAGCCATAGGCTCCCTGACCCGTCTCCCCCTGCTTCTCCAACCATGAGCCACAGGCCTCCGGAGCTCCACCCGCTTTGTCAGATGGACTGTGGGTCCACATTCTGTCTGCTGGGGACCCCTCCTCATCTTTTGGGACTCCGCACTGGACACTGCCTACCACCACAGCCTCCCCGACCCCTTGTCCTCCCTGCTCTGTGGACACTGCACTGGGCCCTCCTTCCTGGCCAGCCCT